TGATGTAAATATGTTTGATTTGATTTTAACTTCTATTTTTATTTTTAATAATTATATTCCCGTCCCCTCTTTTCTGGAGCTGCTGTAATGCACAAATTTCCCCCATGGGGATCAATAAAGTTTATCTTTATCTTTATCTTTATTTTTTCAGGTAACTATTTGACTGTATGATTTGTTTGTAAACTTACAGATTAGGTTGAGTTCTTGACCAAAAAATATCTGGTTCCAAAAATGTTCTGGGCATTCTGCACAATCATTAAAAACCTTATATCTCAAGTTAAGCAGCAGCAGTGTTTTGATCATTGTGAACTTGATTTGTCAGAAGCAAGTAGTAAGCTTTAAATAGTAAGTATTTTGATGCATAAATATTTTCATTATGTTTCATTATATCAGGACATTTTATTTATTTATATTAAATCTGACACATTAAACATTTAAAGATTTTTTGGGGGCTTTTTGTGCCTTTAATGTAGAGATAGGACAGTGGATAGAGTCGGAAACCAGGGAGAGAGAGAGAGAGAGAGAGAGGGGAATGACATGCAGGAAAGGAGCCACAGGCTGGATTTGAACCTGGGCCGCCCGCTTGGAAGACTATAGCCTCCACACATGGGGGGCGCGCACTAAACACTGCACCACCATTTCCCAAACATTTATAGATTTTTTCATTTTTAGAAAACATCAGAAAAAGAAAAAAAGTCATAAAGCATATTAATGTACTAATCGACAACAGTCATTTGTTATTTTTAGCAGTTCTACTTCCTGTATGATTAAATAAATAACGTTATGAGGAAAACCAGTGGCCTTCTTATCTACTTTAAAGTACCCAGACACACACACACACACACAACACACACACACCAATGAGAGGTTTTGCTCATGACAAATAGAGCTGCCTGGAATAGGAACACTGCTTGACATTTACATTTGACAACCAGAGAGCCTTGAACAGAATATCAAAATGGTACGGATTGTTCTGTTGACTTTCAGGATAGGAGGAATCAAGAACACCAAAAATGTTTATTATTCATAAAGACTTGACTATAATGGAGAAAAAAAATGGAACAAATGATCTGTAGATTTTTAAAATGATAAGTGTTTCTGCATGTGGTTAGCTTAGCTTAGCATAATGTGCAACCTTTAGCTTATTTCCAGTATCTAACTACTTATAAACCTCAGGCTGTTCATTATTTAAGCAGAACTCAGAGGAGTTAAAAGACATGCATTGAAAACAGGTTCAAAAAGTCCAATTGCACTGATTTAGTTTTCCAACCATTGATGATATTAAGACAACAGCTAACTAACAATGATTGGGCTCAGAGGACGAGCTTGGCAGGAGCAATGTGTCCTCGTCCTCTCTCCTATTTCCTATCCGTCTCTTGCTCCTTCACCACTGCATACCTTAGCAGCTGCCTGCCTTATTAACATCTCATAGCCAGGACGAGGAGATGTAGGCGGTAAAAAACAACAAAAAAACACCTTGTGTGCAGCATTATCATTCAAAGAGGGGCTGTGACACAAACGATACGGTCAACTGGGAAAGCAGTCTAGCAGAAGCAAAGTGTGTGAGAAAGAAGCAGCAGGTAGACTAAGAATAACACAACGTGTTTTCTGCTGCATGGCGTTCAGCCTTTGTTTATACTGCGCCGCTTACTAGGCCTGTCTCTCACCCTCACCGCAGCCAAAGATTACTGAAAGGGGGAAGCCCTGTTAGTCCGATAAATCAATAAAGGATTTGAAAACATATTACATTTTGAGCCTAAGTGAGTTATTTGAAACTCTTCATGCCTTGTTGTTGCATATTTTTGTTCTGCAGCTAATCCAGGAAAATGAAAAATAGGATTTAGACTGTTTTTTTTTTAACCCATAAAAATGAATTCATAACAATATTACACAAAGCATTTTACAATAAAACAAAAAAGTCGGTGAAAATGTTGTTTAACTTCTTACATAGCAGGCAGAGTATTGAATTTTCCACTGAGAAATTCCCAGCCCCAACAAACACTTAGAGAGCTGGAAAAAGTAAGAAGGTCAAGTGGTGCCCTCATGATCTTCCTCCAACTTTCTTCTTCTTTACTTAATCAGACATAATAATGACTGAGTTCTTATTCCCAAATAAAACCAGGGATGTCACCAGGGATCACAGGAGATTTCCTCACCGGGATTTCAAGAACCATAGCCTTGATTGTCCAACTTTTTCCCTTCTCCACTCGATCGTGGTAGAAAGAAGAAGGCATGTCTAAGAGGCGTTCTTGCTCTCCCCACAACCCCAACATGTGTAAGTAGTGTTTTTTCTTAAAATCTCATTCTGTGGCCTCTTAAGAGTCAATTCATCGACTATCTTTGGCTGATATCTACCCCTGCAGCAGCTGTTTCAGGCATTACAAATAACTTCACTGTTTATGATAATAGTCTTGTTTGCTTTTGTTGGTCATATAGAGACATCAGTATTAATTCCAGTCAGTTTCATAAGCAGCGAAAGAATCCTCACAGGAGCTTTAAGTTCATTTAACCAGGCAGTTACTGAGTTTAAATATTTTATTATGAAAATGAGTGATTCAATAAATCATAACTTAAAGGCTTAAAGGGACAACACAAAACGATACTGCATCAGATTACATCATGGAGCCCAAGACTAAACAACTAAACCACTCTTCTCGGGAATTCAGAAAAACAAAGCATTGCGTTCCCATTTTTGGCAACAGGGTGCTGAAGCTATTTCAGGAAGTGTGAAAGCTTAACGTCTTCACACCTGAGATTTGTGACATTCTTCCCCGGTTAACACTTTTATCTCAAACACATTTTCATGTAATAAAACCCGTACAAAATCTGAATCGAATTTAAGATACGGCACAATAATCCTCAAATATGTCTTGATCTACTTTGTTCCATGTTTTGCTCTGAAAACAATTTCTCTACATGTATTCATTATCAACAAACGACCACCTCCATACATATTTTGATGACATCTTTTTCAGTCTGAAATTAATGAACATTCAGACAAAGCAGCGATAACAAGCTGCTTGTGAACAGGCAAGGCAGGCAACCGCTTGAAGGCTGACAAACTTAAACCAATGCGACCGCCCCTAAATGTGCACATTTTGCAACAACAGTAGGAAACCTCCCTAAGGGGGCACCCCCATCTGAAAGTCCTGCTAAGGCTTTCATGACTGCTGTGACATCAAAGATGGTCAGTGAAAGTCAACAAAGAAGAATTCTTTAAAAAGGAAACAGGAAGTAAGAGGAAGTAAGAGGAAGAGGAGTCAGCGTCGGGACACTGGCAGACACGATGGTGATGAAGTCTGGTTGGAGACCCAAAAGACCCTAGAATCGCCACTGACAACAAGATATTCTGTCCTTTTTAAAGGGCACATATTATTCAAAACACAAGTTACTCTGGTTAATTTATGTGTCCCTAGTCTGTCTACAACTCCCAAATTATGCGGAAAAGTCCATCATCTTCTTCTTTCGTCTGCTCCACTTTTCAGGAAATGTGTGCTCAAACAGGCCATTTGGAGGGTTTCCCTTCATGACATCACAAAGGGCAGTAACCCCTCCCCCAGGTGGGTGACACTCCCACAGCTAGGTGTTGTTTAAAGGAGTTTAATATGTGACTGAAAGCTTTTCTTAAGTTAAAACAGCTCTGGCTCTTTGAAAAGAAAGATGTCATGTAATCTTCTTGTCCTGTGATCTCACCACGAGTTGAGACAAACTGCGTGGTAAAATATTTCTGTTGACCAATCAGGATTCAGCTGCATCTGTGTGTTTATTTGCTTACTTGTCAATCAAACTGTGCCCACACACTCCTCATGTGGCAGGCTGTCATTTCTGTTGTCATTTTCAGGCAAATCTTTTGAATTTGGTTGCAACAAATTCAGACAAAAATGTTGATCGTTGGGGAAAATAAAAAAAAGGATTTGAAGCTTTGAATCAGAATTATCTGAGGAATTAAACAGGGGATTTGCCATTGTGAAATATATATTCTCCCCGCTCTTTATGAAAACATTTTTTTTTGTATTTAAAAATGTTTGAATGTTAAATATCTTGTGATGCTGTTAATGTTGTTGAAAATAATGTGCCAATAAGTGCAGAATGGAAGATAGAAATGATGTAAGTGCAGAACCTGTTAGTGGTCCCTTTTCATTGACCTCTATGACCTCACATCACACAGCTAAAGAATATAAAAGCTACAATACAGAGCACTGAATGCAACAAAAATACCAGGTTTCTGAGCTTGACAAAGTAATGCAGCCTGCTGATTTATAAATTAACACAAAGCATCTAGACTGGTTTTTGTTTCATCTCAAGGAAAATTAAAAACACTGAGACGGTTCACCATCTTCTTTAAACTCGGCCTGACCCGCTGACCTTTCAGGTACCAGCCCCACGAGACATCCAAAGTGCTGAAAATGCCGACTTATTAGATCCACTGCCTGTTTAGAAGGGGTCATGTTTGTGTTGAATTACACTCAAAGCTCAAGGTAAACTGAGCTTTTTTTTAGGCTTTTTAGTGATATCCGAGTCTCTGGCAGTGTTGTTGCCGTCAGAGGGAGGGGCAGATAAGACCCTGTCTGGACTGTTTGTTCTATCTGCCAAAAGCTTGGCAAAAAAGCCACAAAATCCACCAAAAATCCTACTATATACCATTTTTGTGGGGGGCTTAAATTCTGCACTCTGAACCACTTTGAGGACAGAACCTGCTTTGACCCTGTTTGACAAGCATCTGCGCCACAGAATGCTAATGTGGTTTGGCTTTGTAGCCTAAGTGCTTAATGGGTAATGTAATCTAGCCCATATGGTGGACGCTTTAATCCAGAATAGTATCCACCTCCAGTTGGATTCAAATGTTGACCTTACCAAACCGCTCAGAGGCATTCAGCAGACCGCTGGTGTAGACTGAAACAAAGTACTCCATTCTTATATGACATCATGTTATCTGTGCTTTATGTGTAATATCAGCTAAACCATTTAAATCACGTTTAAATCAAACATTCAATTCTTACCACTTCAGGTAGCAGCTTGGTGGCCAGGTCATGGATGGCTTTACCCATGATGCAAAAGGAGGACAGGATAAAAACCACGCCCAGAATAACACAGGCTCTGCAGAAAGGGAAAAGAGAAACTTTAGTCACAAGAGTTATGTTATTAAAGTGAGGAGTGTTGTTGGTGCAGCTTCAGCTGTGCAGGAGTTCAAATCTCCACCGCGCTTTGAAAATACTGAACGCAGTCAGTAAGCTCAGAGACTTTGAATGATACTAAAATAATGTCTCAATGCTTTACGATACACATTCTCTGCTGAGAAAGAACAGCAGACACTTTTTTTGTTTGTGAGTATAAACACAAACACTTTATCTACATATAGTGGAGGAACCACCCCCCCAAAAAGGCTTTAGTTTTCGAGATACCCCTACCTGAGGTAGAACAAAGCACAACCATATTTTTTCATAACTTGAACATGTCTAGTTTATGAAACGGATGATTATATAAAAATATTTTACTGCAAAATAACTTTTTAAATAACTCACTGTCTCCAAATGGGACAGCTCTAGCCTTATCACATGTATCTCTGGGAATCAGAATTTCACCAAATTTGGACAGGATGTTCACAGATAGTTATTAGTTACAATTATGCAAAGTTTTTATCAATACCATTTTAAATTTTTGAATTTTTCACACTTAAACACACATGTAGTTTAGTAATTAGGTATGTATATCAAAGTCTGTCATTTTTTAAGTAAGTACACCAAACATTAAAATATGTCATTTTTATCTTCTTTAGACTGTTATCTCAACATAAAAGTAAGTTATTTGACTTTTCACTTGACCCTATGCTGTCACCAGCCCCTAACAGGAAACTAGTGCAGCCAGGATTTCAGGGCGACCTGGTACAATGGGGCCCTATGGATGTGTATGTGGGAGGAGGTGGCCACAAACAATTGATTAAGACAATATAATTGTATTCTGTAATATATATATAATTAAACATTTTATAGTTATTCCTAATACACTTTGTCTCATATTTTCTATCTTACATATGATTTATATGATGACACTCAGAGTCAACCCGCTACTTTCAACAATATTGTCACCTATGACATTGTTTCTATTTTATTCTAAAAAATTAAAGCATTGTCTTGACATCAGTTATGAAATATTAATGAACTAAAAAACAGTATTGATATATATAACCTTGAGTTCTTAGAAATTAAATATACTTCATATAGACTATTTGTATATCGGATATACAGCCTGTTGTAGTTATTTTTTATGTATTTCAGTCATATAAAGATGGTGTGTCGTCACCATATCTCCTGCTTTTAAGAACAACCCTAGTTACTCCAGAGGATCCACTGGATGAAGGGATAGTTTTTATAATACCCTAAGTATGATAAAGTGTTAAAAAAAAAACTACAATAGCTATTTTTGTTGAATGATTTATCAGGCAACCAATGGAGCTGGGATCCAAAACAATTCTTATGATGGTGTAAATGTGTGTAAGGTAAATTAGGATAACGGTCATGCAAACATGTTTATAAAAAACTTCTTTATACACTTATTTTACCTCATTATATATAATGACATTTGATTTTAAATGCTAATTACATGCACTAGATGCATAAAACATCCAAATAAAGTTATTTTGCAGTAAAATATTTTTATACAACCATCCGTTTCATAAACTAGACATGTTCAAGTTAAGGAAAAATATGGTTGTGCTTTGTTCTACCTCGGGTAGGGGTCTCTCAACTTTTAGGGGCCCAAGTTCCTCTACTAATATACGTTCATGTTACTTTCAAGATCACATCTAGCACCATCATCAGGTCATTTTTTCTGTCAAATAGATGACTGATGATTATATTTGGGCTTTTGTGCCTTTATTTGCAAAAGCGAAATGACCGGCAACCTGTCCAGGGTGTACCCCGCCTCTCGCCCAATGACAGCTGAGATCATCTCGAGGCCCCCTGCGGCCCCTAACGGGATAAGCAACATAGATAATAGATAATTGGCTGGCTGATTGATAGCTTAACATTAGCATTTACCTCAAAGCACCACTCTTGCAGAACTCTTGTTGTTTCATTGAACAGGGGACGGAGACAACTGAGCTGCTACCCTTGAATAATCCTGAACAAAATATATCTGAGGTACAGGATGAAGAAGATGTTTTTAAACCACCTCAACCCAACTATCAAAGTCCAAAAAAAACAACAGGCGCTTATGCCATGGCCATGCATGGCTACCAGTCTGTGTTCGATTCTGAAGGCCGCTCGCCAAACCACAGCTGGTGTCATGGGTTTTGACCAGATGAGGTAACCACGGCAACCCCGACATCCCTCCAGGATTTCGCAGCTGGACACACACACACGCACACACGCACACACGCACACACACACACACACACACACACACACACACACCACACACACACACACACACACACACACACACACACACAACATGGTAGCCCTCGATCCACTCTAACTGGCACCCTGTTGTTTCTTGCACATCACCAAGAAATACAACAACAACAACAACAACACCACCCAGCAAAGACACTTCATTTTTACAGAATGAGATTAGTTCTTCATAGAAAACGTGTCCGGCTTTGCTTTTTAATATCAATCCCACCACATCTTTTGTCTCTCAAGGCTCTACATTTTTTAATAAAAAGGGACAAAAAAACTTCCTAATTCATCTTCTTTTGACTTGTGTCTCGCCTGTTACCTTGGCAACCGGTCTGTACCTGAGCATCACTATGCGACCACTTCTTCTTCTCTATGAGACACAAACGGCTACAAAAAAAAAGATGATGAATAGCATTGATTCTCTTGTTTTGTGCCACACAAACAATAAAACACATGTTGGAGGTGATAAAAGACACAATGCTACTGGATATGTGTGAATGTTCATGTGTTTATATGTGCCTACACTTAGTATATACATGTGTGAGTGGGTGTTTTATGTGTTTGAAGTGGATTCTCCCGTTTCTGTGTATCTTTCTGTGTTTGTGTGTCTTAGTTTGGGAAACATAACTTCTCGTTGAAGCCAATTACTGGCAGAGAAGCTTCCTGAACTTTTTCTGAATTCTCCAATTAGCTGCTGAAGTGCCATCATGAGCACTGCTGTAACAAACCGAGTCTTAGTGGAAGTTTTAATGAGAAGATGCAACACTCTTAAAGCTTTTAATTACCTGCCCTGCTGCAAAGAGAGAGAGAGGTGTTGTCCTTTTTGTCACATCATCTGATACTTGAATCATCTCAGTGTCTGTGGTAGATACAGTCTCTCTCTCTCTCTCTCTCTCTCTCTCTCTCTCTCTATCACTAAAGACAATCAGTTCATTACCTTCAGGGTTTTTGCCACTTAAGGTTTGCTTGTGAAATTTTCCCACATGTGAACGAGGAAGTCAGGAAGAATTCAGAGGCAGGGTGTCCTGGAGGTTTTTAGAAATGTTCAGGAGTTCTTGTGAAAGTCTTAAACCCAACACACACACACACACACACACACATTTTTGATTTGTTGTATAGCAGATGCTCTTTTCTGATTTTTTTGGGGGTGTGAAACATAGAATATGGATTAATGTTTACTTCCTTTATGCATATTCATTTGAAATAAAGGAACACACAGCTGCACTACACTGGGTTTCCTTTCCTTTCTTACTCCCTTTCTGTCCCCTGCCTGCCACCAACACTCTGACCATTCAGCAGGCTCTGAAAAGCCCACCTGACCCGGACACACACACACACACACACACACACACACACACACACACACACACACACACACACACACACACACACACACACACACACACCACACACACACACACACAACACACACACACACACACACACACACACACACACACACACACACACACAGCATTGTCAGCCAGGTACAGATAAGACGTGAGGCACTTGTCTGTGATCGGTCCCAGTGGGAGGAGGTTGACAGAGCTTGAAGAGACCTTCTGTTTGACACACTCCTCAGTAGGACAAAGCAGAACAAACACACAACTGCTCTGATTTCAACACAAATGATAAACAGAATATACAGAAATGAAAGCACTGATTACACTATCTGTGCATTTAATTGATCAATAAATACCAAAACTATAAATGGGCTTCTTTTTATGTCTAAACTTTCTCTTTTGATAATTTTAGGAGATTAATTCTTTTTCTTTTTTCTTATTAGAATTTTTTTTTTTTCTTATGAGAAAATAATAAGAAAAAGTTTCTTATTAGAAAATACTTTTTAAGGCACTTGCACTTTATACCAAATGAGTCTTTCTCAGGGAAAGTTGTTCACCAAATGGAACATTCTCAGCGATATTTGTGCTGGATTTTTTTTTTTTTTTTGATATCCTTTATGAATCCCTGAGGGAAATTCAGGTTTACACTCTGTTATTTATAGGGACATGCTGCTCACACACATAGGCCTGAATCACACACATGCACAAACAGGACCTGTGGACATGCATTAGTGGAGAGATGTCAGAGTGGGGCTGCTACAAGCTGCTAAGCAGGGAGCGCACCAGAGCAGTTGGGGGGTTTGGTGCCTTGCTCAAGGGCACCTCGGCAGTGCTCGGGAAGTGCCCTGACACCTCTCCAGCTACCAGACCAACTTCCAGATTTGGTCCGCATGTATAATATATATAAAAGGAAGCATCATTTAGAAGATTTTAAAGGAGGAATGTGCAACATTAAACACACATATACAGCAGAAATCAAGTCTCTCCTGTGTAAATGTGTCTCTGAGTCATGACTGTCTACAATGAGTGAGAAGCTCGAGTCCCACTGGCTGTGTTGTTGTCAGAGCCGTGTTTACATCATCAGGTTTTTGGACGCCCTTGCATATAAAGCTGTTTCAGTCGAGGACTAGAGAAAAAGAAGACCATGTAGATCAAAATATGTGCAATGTGAATCTATGAGTGTGCTAACATTAGCGTGCTAACACAACAAGGCACACATCTTGCATCTCGAGCAACCCAATTTAGCCCGCCGATTGAGCTTAATTATGGTGCATTCCAACTGATAATTCTTTCATGCAAAGGTGAGAGGAGGGGGTTGGAGGTGGAGGAGAGCGGAGGCTTCAGTATGGAGGAGGCGTGGCCAAACAGCAGTTTGTTTTGGTTTAATGCTGGAGCTCAAGGGGCGACTTCTACTGGATCAAAAAGTTGCACATTCTTCCTTTAATGCCTCTGGACTTCATTTGTTTTCAGGTATTTGAAGCTTGAGTGGACACCATTATTTCCAACCAGTCTGGTCTGCGGTGGCTGAAAGGTGGTTGTACTCACATGTATTCACGGTGTGCTGAGTGAACCGCTGCGGCGTTGCTGTATCGCCACACCACAATGATGGAGGACAAGACGTCCAGCATGGCATCAAACTGCAGAAAAACAAAACGGACACTTTAGATTCTTCTTTTAGACGGCACACAGAGTTAGCCATAGTGTTTTGTTTTTTTTTTAAAGTGGAAGCTTTAAACTTCAACTTACGGCAAATCCAAAAGCTGAAGCACTGTGACGCATGAAGGAAACAGCTGGAAAGAAAAGAGAGATAGAATGAATCACAAGAACGATACAAGATGCTGCTTTAATACATAGACTGTGTATTAAAGATGGATGGAGCAACAGCTGCCTGGGAGTGAAGCCAATTTCTTTTAAAGCTCTCCCTGCCAGGAGTTAGTCCAGAGGAGGGGCCAGGGGTGGCATAGGTCCCCCCAAAAAATCCCACACTGTGATTGGTCCTTTGCCCTGTCAGAGGAGTGTTGCGTAACGGCTCTGTCAGCAGAGTCAGTTATTCTCCTGTTTATTTATGTCCAAGAGTTGTTTTGTGTTCATTCGTTTTTTGATGGATATGACGTCATGATTGACAGCTCTGTTGACCGTTTTTTGTTGCAGATTTCTGACAGCACGATGAGGATTTTCTGATTCTGCATCTCTACAGAAACAAATAAAGGGGCGACTGCTGCCGAATAAAAATTCCAGTCAGGATTTCTGTTATTTAAATGAGGGATTCCTGGGCGACTGCGTGCTCTCTGGTTGTTTAACCGCAGTGATGGATCATTATAATGTCACACTCAGAGGTGCATTTTTATGACTGTTTCCAGTTAGTGCAGCAAACCTGATAGACGAGATAAGATGGATTCTGTTGACTTAAGTAATTCAGTTATCAGGATATCTCTTTTGGCCTAATGATATGAGCTGTGATAGGTTAATAACAAACATTGAGCCACAGCTGCTGCATGCATTCACCTGCATTGAGAGGGGGTGAGGAGAGAGAGACACAAAAGAGAGAAAGATGCAGAAAGATAGAGGGGAGGAATCCTCTCCACTCCTCCCTGGTTTATTTTTAGAGTGAATCACTGGGGGCCGGCTTCTCGCCTCAGCCCTGCATGCAGAAACACAGCTATGTGGTTTTTCTTCCTCTGCGTTCCCCCTCAAGTTGCTCCATTCCTCTCTACTGAAAGGAGAGGGAAATCATCACCTTCACCTTCTCCCTCCCTATTGTGACATCTCCTCTTTTGCTACCATGTTTTAGCGACGCTCTCTCTCGGCTGAAGTTGCAATCTTATGAAATTAAAACGGGAAAACGATGCCGCCTCCCTTGCATCTGCAAACCTTTACACGTGGCCACCCCAGAATACAAATGAGAAGGTGGGATCGTTTTGTTATGAAGACTCAGCAGAGGAGCAGCAAGACAGCAGTTTGAACAACTGTTTGCAAAAAGTACAGAAAAAACATGCAGACATGCCTTTTGGATATATCAATATATGAACCCACAAATTGTCTTTTTTTAGTGGAATTGTATCATTGGATTGATTGTGTCTCCAAAATACATTTCAAACACAAGGTCTGTCAAAAGATACAAATTTTAAATTGCAGTTAATCGCTGAATTTGAATAGTTAATCACAATTAATCTGATTTTTGATGGAATGTTTGAAATGTCATTATTCTCATTCCAAAACAGTTTTTGATATAAAGATAAAGATACACTTTATTTATTGACATTTTGTTGTTACAAAAGCTCAAAAACAGGAGTATAATTAGCAGAAATAACAAAAAGTAAAAACATATTTACATTCATTAAATAAAGCAAGAAAAATACGATATAGATAAAATAATACTAGGCATATACTATATACACTTTCACTTGTGGAAAGACAGAGGAAAGTTCCTGGCAGCATTTTTGTTTTTGAAATGTTTGGACCCCTCCCGCTTTTTTATTGATTCTGCACCGCAGGAACTAAGAACTGTTTTAGTTCCTAGAACCCGTTTAAAGCTCCTGCTTCAGAGTAGGTACCATGGCGGTGTAAATGCAGACAGATAAAACAACAGAGTACATGGTGTGTAGTTCTCAGGGAACTCCTTAGTGTAGTGGTTCCCAAAGTGGGGGTCGGGACCCCCTGGGGGCTGGGAGGGGGGGGCGAGAGATGCCTTACAAAAACAAATACAAATTTGAAATGACTTAAAATTGTAGAATATAATAATTTTAAGGCTGCTGTATTCTTTAGTGTTGTTCTAATGTCTGGATAGGCCTCTTCCTGCATGCTGCTGTGTGCAACGTTAAATGCTTTAACCATTTCCAGGGACAAAGGGGGTCCCCAGTCTCTCAAATTCTTATTTCAGGGGTCCCGGGGTGAAAAGTTTGGGAACCCCTGCCCTAGTGGATAGTTCCTTTTCAAAAAGTCCCCAGAACACCTATAAACCTATCTGTGGAGAAAAGGAACTTGTTTTGGATCTGAAAGTAAATGAAACCGCTGAAGGTTTTTTAAAAGTGAAATGAGACATTTAAAGGTGTAGAGGTGTTGGTCTTTTCCATCAATGTGCCCACAGTGTGGTGGCTTAGCAACAGTGCGCCTAAAGGGAAAAAAATAGGACACGATCAATATGATTAAGAAAATAATGCAGCCATTCCAGACCTTAATCGCATCATGAGTAACACTTAATGTAGCTTAAATGACTTTTCTCATCTGTGGTTCCATCTTTTTCAGTGCAAATTATAAACACTTGTACAGAAATTGCCAATAAAAAAATAATAATCAGGACCCAGGACCCTCTCCTCCTTGTTCAGCATTACAGCTCCTATAATAATTTTGTCCCAAACAGGTACATGTAGTGTTTTGGATCAAAAACTCCATCTTGCTTTCTTTAACAGACAAATGTGTGACTCATTGAGAATATTTGCAGTTTGAAATGTAAAACAAAAAGGCTCTTTGTAGCTAAACCCTTAAAGTGACACCTATCCCCCGTCAGCATTTCATAACAGGCTTAAAAACATCATAGCAGCTTTAATTTCAGAAAGATGAATGATCGTTTGAACAAGCCATGCCACTAAGACTTTAAGGTAAAAGAGCAGTTCGTGTTTTTACAGTTGCAAGTTGGAGCTGAGCAGAGGGTGTAACATTCAACAGCTGTGTGGAGAGAGTGAGGAGCAGGTTGTAGTTCTTAAAGACACAATCTTCATTCTACATGTCCCTCCCACAGTGACATGCATTCATATCCTATTACTGAATGTCAAATATTCATGTACCATTTACCTCCAGATCGCTGGTGTGGTTGTGGGCCTGCCTGACTCCAACTGCTACAACTATTAATATCATCTATCATCATTATTATAAATGTGAATCCGCTTGACTTCAACTGCATTAGCATTATCAGTCCTCCCCATTTTATTGTCATTACTGTTGAGGTTGAAATAAGGATGATCAATCTACTATCAGACTTTGATGTTACTGCTAATCTCACACCTAGTTTTATCGTTTTAACAGTTGTTGTTGTCAGAAATCATTTTTTTTACTCGCTGTTGTTTCCCACACAGCTTCTGCAGATGGCTGTTCAACATGTCATGACATAGAGTCCCTTTTCTGCCAAAAAAAATCCAAGATACCAATTCCTTCTGGAAGAAATCTCAGAATCAGTTGAGGAAACGGCCGTATGTGTTGTAGTAAATGTCTGTAAATAGAGGACATTAGTGGGAGTGGCCTGTGGTGCTGTGCATTCTGGGATTTGGTGTCTTTCATCCACATGAGCCAAAAAGACACTTTCTGTCTTTTCTCGACTTCAAAATGTATTTCACATTTCTACTACATATATGACCCAATGTCAATACAGATTGATGTTTCAACGGTGAAGTATCCCTTTAAATAATATAACAAAGAGTAGACCTTCTTTGTTTGTAAAGTATCAGGAGATCAACTGATTGATTGACAACTTCTTCTGAACGTGGCAAAACTTGTTCTTCCTCTTCTCTTGTTCTTTTGGAACAAACCTATATAACTCTATAACTATGAAGTTACAGGAGTCCTAGGACAGCTCCCTGTGTAGTCTCAATATAGATATGACAGCAGATAAACTGCCTTTGTCTCCTTTAGGTTTACCTACGTAACTCACTGTCATTATCAACACTTCAGTCACAACAGGCGGTTTCAGTCCTTGTGATATTGATGCTAGCAGCAGCTGCTCTGTAGAAGCATTATTACAGGACAATTACATTTTTGTAAAACAACTCGTTTCCACTTTACGGAGGCAAGTCAACAGGAAGTCCACTCGGTCCTATCTCTGTGATATCCGATGTGTCTGCAAAACTCCTCCCCTCCCTGAAATATCGGTCCAGAATGTGCCGAGAGTATCTTATGACAAACTGAAGCGGTGGATTTCAGAAACAGTATGACAGTTTGCTAGCTTGGCTAAAAGGCCGCTAACTAGCTAACAGTAGCTAGTGGGGACACAATGAGCCTCTCCCCCCATGGCTTTAGGTAGCTTCTGACAGGTTTTTAGCCATCCGTAAAGAAATGCACTTCCTTATGTAAGACACCATCCATATACTTATGGGTCTACAGACACCAGTCTCTTATGTGAGTGGAAACGAGGCATCAGGCCTGTGATTATTATTATTATTGTGAAGCGTGAGATCTCCTTAAGTTTTCTCTGCAAAGTTAACTTGATCACATAATTAGTTTTTACATCATCGACAGTGTACCATTGTTTACACAGAGACTGTCAGGGTGGAGGTTTTGCTCATGTGAAGAAATAAGCCAACCCATATATGCTCCAGTTCCAAGTGTTGTAACAGGTAGCAAATAGAAATTGACAGCTGTTCAAATGAAAGTAAATATAAGAGGGAGGGACTGTGTCGACAGCAAAGTGACACGCACCCGCTTGAGTTGACATAACAAGAGGAAAAGTATCAGACGGGCTCTTTTGTGTACATATAAAGGATTTTGAAACACTTAGGTGAGCGTGTCTGTAAGAGTACAAACAACACACGACAGGGTTTATATAACGTACAGCTTCATTCCTCAATTATCTCCTAAACCTTCAAGGGAGCAGGTTTGTACCAGAGAGTACAACACAAGCACAACTCTTCAGATTCTTGAAATGTATTCATGACCAAATCTGAATTTAGCCTTAATCCTATTTTAAAGATTTTTTTTTTTATCTAGTAAAGAATCAAGAAATTTCTGCTTCCCCTCCCTCGTCTCCTCTTTCCTTCCCTTTTCTCCTCCCACCGCACTCATTAAGGGAGCAGAAGGAAATAAAGTGAGTGTAAATGAATCTGCTGCGGCTCTGCGGTTGTCAAAGCTGAGCCTGGCGATGGCTAATTGGCTACCAAGAAAGGCTGTTTGGGTGTCAGTGGGGACGGAGCTGCAGCATCACATCAGGCTATCACACGCACACACACACACACACACACACACACGCAAGGTCTCGTTTCCCTGTCTCTCCCATCTTCCATCCTCTATCCCGCTTCCAAGACAAGCAAGATAAAAAGAAGATAAAACACCATTTCAGCTCTGGCTGTTTCTGGAGCAGCATTATGCATTTAAAGAGACACACACACCAAAACGGAGCGTTCTCAGAGAGCTGGTTTATACAGGGTCACAAACCTCCTCTGGTGCTTGATTCATGTTATATTTTGACCCAAGCACAGCACAGATGTTTCATTTAGACCACAGAGGACTGTTTGAAAAGGTGGAGAAGGAGGATGATATGTCCTCTTTAACGTGTGAGTCATGGTGAGTTAGATTGGACCAAACACTAAAATGTAACTCTTTTGTTTTTAAAGCTTTTCCAAAAGTGTCCAAATCTGTTAATTTGACATTTTACTCTGCCTCGCCAAGTTACCAACACTTCTCACAATGTCTCCCACAAACCTGATATTTTAAACTCCACAGACAGACATAAAGCTGCTCTTTCCTGTCATAAAGAAATGAAATCTTATGCATGTTGGAGTCATGCTAATGTTTAACAGGGTATGTTACCCAGCAGCTATCATTCTGTCAACATATAGAGCTGACAGAGAACAGCAGCAGGTGGTGATGACAGGACCAGCACCCTGCAGGCTCCTGATAGGGCAACTATGCATGCACCATATACTTCATTGTAAAGACACCGCCACACTTGGTTGTGGTTTGTGTCCCAAATACTTAATACCAAATATTAAAGTATCAGATCTTTGTGAGATCACTCCTTTAAAATGTTTGTCTGAGTTTCACGTCGTGCTATCTGTGGGGTCAGTGTGTCTTTAAATATCTACACAGTGTAGCATCAAATAAATGTTAAATGTGCATTTAAGAGCACTCTTTTGATATTACCAGTGGCAGTTAATTAAGTCCATGCTAAAATCTTTAACTTTTACATTATTTGTGTTTCTGACTGTTTGGCTAGGTAGCTTAGAGGACACTGATCTCAGACCTGCTGCTTTCCTGTATTCATGTTTCAACCAACAGATGTTGCCTGTAGGTGTTCCAACCATTCACATCTCTGTTTCAAACCTTCCTGCACCACTCTCACTCTAGTTTCAGGAATATCTGAAATACCGAGCCAAACAACATATTCCCAAAAAGTAGGCCGTGCATAAGAGGCGTGCAGTACACTTGCCAAAACCCTGCTATGTCATTTCTAAAATGTTGTGATATTAAGGAACATATCATAAGGGAATACATTTACCTCATTCACTAAATAATGTCCAAATCTGAGTCCTCCATTAAGTCTTTAGAATTCAAGACACTAAACGAGACTGGTGTTCTGGGGTTTTCTTTTCTATTCGTTTCATTTTCTTTGTATGTTCTCTCTTCAAAGTCAATTACTTCCTTCCTTTGAATATGTTTTCTTTGGTGTGGCTTAATTTATAATGCTAGCTATCGCTGGGAGCTCATTATAATAACACCTGCCATGGGAAGGGGGGGGGTGCCCTTTTGAAAACCTGCCACTCAACTCATGTCCACTTTTTAGTGGGTTGCCTTGAGGGAGGGAAAAGGAGAGAGCGATTCCACTGGCTCACATGGTGGTGCAGGACCTGTAAAGGTGAGCCGGTTGCGGTTACCCTTATCGTATCTCGCATTCAAAGTTGATTTCATAATTACTATCTCCTTAAAATAATCCCATATGTAAAATATAAATCCAGATATCAAATTCTGGAATGGCAACACAGTTGTATAAATAGATAGAAATGCAATCAGTATGCAGTTTATCTGCTATCTAAATTATTTTACCACCACGCAAAGCATCTGCAGCTGAATTATACAGGACCGGTTTCAGTGATTTGAAATGAAGAGAAATGTTTCAGAATGGAATTATTGGCTTCAGTAACTAAACACACACACACACAACACACACACACACACACACAACACACACACACACACACACAACAAACACCACACAACAAAGAAGGAAGCTGTAAGGCAGGCCTGTCCTGCTTCTCTACTAATCATTCCTTATCAGAACAGGAAGCGGGCAAAATGTTTGAAACAACACCGACTGAACTCAGGAAGAGGCTCTGTTTTTCTACAACAAAATGTTTTTGCTGGGTCCTTCACTAATCATGCCCTAGTGGCTCAACTTGTGCAGAATTCCAATTTTCTATTGGCAGTTAAACAAGACTCTCATTAAATATTGACCCACTGGATTTATGTTTGTGAGCATCAAAATCATGCAAATACAAAAGTGCTAACAGGTGACACCGCTGTGACTTCAGCCTCCTTCCTGTGCTCATTTCAGAAGTCGATTTGCAAGCAGGACCATGTTTCATTTATGAGTAGGAGTGGGCACGATGTGACAAGCTCGGGGGTACCACAGAGATGTGATAAAAATGCCTAATGAAGACATTTGCATGAATAGATGCTCAGTGATAAGAAATGGTCTGTTTGCACTTCCTGCAGACAGTCATTCTGAATAACTTTTAAAAATGGAGTCTAGAGAAATGTGCTATCTTTCTTTCTCACTGACATCAGTTCATAACAGGAAACTCAGGCATGTCTGCAAACCACAGCTGCGGTGACCGGCCACACTGCAGCAAAGCTCAGGCATGTGTCAAGCACTAATCGGCTTTCACCGCAGAGGAGGAAGAGGTATCGTTTGAATATTGCAGAAACAATCAACCTTATCCTGCATGAGCACTGCATGTCAAACTTGACTTTAGGTGTGGTGGATGGTAAAATAATGACAGGATTTTCTGAATGGCACGTCTAGTTAAACAACAAAAACATGATAAAACATTCACTGATCTACAAAGAGAATCATATCCTGAATCAGACTCAAAGTGGGAAAATTTGAGCTAAAGATTTGAAAGAAAAGGCTGAAAGAGACTAATCTTCCCTGAGTGAGTCACCACATCCACTCGGGGGGGGGGGGGGGTCTCATCCTTGACAAAAAGAGAAAAATAAGACTGTTTACGACAAAGACAGGTGCTCAAAAATGTTTTGCCTCTGAGAGAAAGAAAGAAAACCTCAATAACTGATAAAACATTCAAGGCCCACTTCCCACTTTTGAAAGAAAAAATAAACGTCCCGTGTTGCTTCCTTATCAAAGCAGTGTGGTGACGTCAATAGCTTGTCCTTCATGTTGTCAAGTGTTGTGGTTTCGTCGGGCTGCTGGATGCCAAAGTAATGAACAAACTGTCCTCCAACTAAACGGCTCGACAGCAGGCAGCGATTTCTCAAACGCTGCTCATCAAAGACCTGAAGGAGGAGGGGGGAAGGGGGGGGGTTACTCACTGAAAGCAACGATGGCCAGGACGATGGTGACCACTATGGACACCCAGGACACCCACAGCGCTTTCTTGCGGAAACTCTGTGCTTCATGAGGCTTCAGGCGCATGCTGCTTTCCAGGAGACCTGCAGACAGGAACACAGGGCACAGTGAACACACATGACTCAGAGAGAGAAGGGGAGGAGATGGTTTAGTTTGTCAGGGACAATATATATTTGAATATTTTTCAGTCTTATAAATATCTGTTCACTCAGTTTTGCTCAGTGAGGTAAATGGACTTGAGCTTATATAGCGCTTTTACACTGCAGGTCACAGCTACACATTCACACACTGATGGTAGAGATCACTATGTAGTATCATATATCTACATTCATACACCACCACCCAAGCAGAGGGAGCAATGCAGGGTTAAGTGTCTTGCCCAAGGACACATCGGAGATGTTGCCCAGCTGGGGATCGAACCCTCGACCTTCCGGTTGAGAGGCGACTCTACCCACTGAGCCACAGCCGCCCTTGGTAACACTTGTGTTGCGAAAAGGGCTTTGCAATTAATCGAAAATGAATGGAAACAGACATTCAGAACCTCTAACCGACATAATCTCGCCCATATCGATTATTTTCAGGGCCGAGTCACATGATGACTTGTCCGCAATGTCCGTCGTTTGGACACATTTTGTCTTTAGGGAAGACGACGCCGAACAAAAAGAAGCAGGTGTCAGACGAAGAGATTAACTGACTGCTGCAGAACCAGTATGTGTTGACCTTTTAAACCCTAAAGATTGACTGATACGTTTGACGCATCTCTAAAAAGAGAACACTACTTACACATGTACGGGACAAAATTCACTAAAGCAATAGGGAGGTATGGCTTCGTCCACAGGGGGGCGCCAAAATCAACACAAATCAAAAGTTTCCTCACAGGAGCTTTAACCTCGAGCGTTTAAATGTTACCTTTTAAGAAACTACACTTAAGGAAACCGGTTTTAAACAGTTTTGTAATTTTTTGTAATATGTCAAATTTAACTCAAAATATCAAGCTCATGCAGCATTGTCTATTTCACCAAATTAACGAGGAACCACACATAGGTAGCTGCACCAAGTTGCATGTCAAAACCAATTCACTCGCTGAAATGTGTCTATATCTTGTATAGAGGTCACACCCATTCATTCACATGACGCTGATCATGTGGCCGCAGGAGCTGGGGATCGAACCGCCGACCTTCTGGTTGAGACGACCGACTCCACCACTGAGCCACGGTCCCCAAATGACTGACTGTTTTTAATTGGTTTTCAGAACTTGTTTCAGTGACAGGTGCAGGATTATTATCAGCAAATTGCATTTAAAGCACCTGTGAGGAGCATCTTCAGAAGTCTCTATTCTGTAGTGTTCATTTTGTTTCTCCAGAAAGGAATGTTTCAAAAAATACAACATAAAAACAGCGAAGAGATCTCGAGGTGCCCTATTGTTTACGTTTTTGGGCAACTTTGCCATTGTTTTTTCTCTAATAATGGTAATAATGGATTTGAAGTGTCTAAAGATGTAAATTCTGGTTTGCGTTTTTTTTGTTTTGGAGTTTAAAAATTAAAAAAAAAAAAACAGAGAATGGAAAAAAGACCAGTTTCCTGTTGTCCATCAGTAGAAGTACACAGATTAACTTGACTGTTCTTAAGTTGTCCATTCAAGAAGAACATCAGCTCATCAACACATTCACCAAAACACCCTAACATGCCAATTCAAGCCAAACACTGC